GAACATCATTTAGTAGTCTGTGTAGGCTTGGCTTTGTCATCATGAAATTCTTTAGTTGTTCTTTGTCATGGAAGTATTTCTCTTGTCCATTATACTTGAAAGAGAGTTTTGCAGGGTATATCAATCTGGGTTGCAATTTGTTTTCTTGCAAGACTTGAAATACTTTGCTCCATGCTCTTCTTGAATTGATGGTTTGTGAAGAGAAATCTGCTGTTATTCTGATGGGTTTTCCTTTAAGTGTGATCTGTTTCTTTTCTTTAGCGGCTTTTAGTATACTGTTCCTTGCTGAATTTCTGGGATCTTGATCGCTATATGTCTGGGGGTGGTTTTCATTGGGCTGATGTTATTTAGAGTTCTAAATGCTTTGGGTGCATGAATGTCAGATTCTTGCCCCATATTTGGGAAGTTTTCTGCTATTACTTCTGCCCATATTCTTTTTATATCAGTATTGACACCTTCCTTCTCATTAATGCCTATTAGTCTCACATTGTTCATCTTTGCATCTTCTTGCAGGTATTGAATTTTTTTCCTGCATCCTAGTTGTTTTTAAGAGATCTTTTCTTACTTTTTCACTAGCTGCAATGGTGTCTTTAAGGTCTGAAAGTTTATTTTCACTTTCATTCAAATGGTTTTGCCAGCTTGTGATTGAGGTTTTAATTTCCTGTATATCACTTTGAATCTGTTTCATACATTCTATTTCTTTCCTGTATTGCTTATTCAGGGGTTTCATCATTTTTATATTCTGCTCTGTTTTTTTTAATCAGTGTACTCTTTAGAAGCACTTAGTACTTCTTTGATTATAGTTATCACTAAATTTTTTAGTTCAGAAATTATTTCTGATCTGATTTCTCCTATAACTTTCTGCAGTTGTTTCTTTACTTCCAACACTATTATTTCAGAGATATCAGGTATGTGATTTCCAGTTTCTTCTATGCTAGTGTCTTCTCCATTTGTACTGGGTGGACTCGGGGTCTGAGACTGCATTTTGTTCCTTCTCTTTGTCATTTTGTATACCACTGTCTTCTGACCTTTGGTGTAGAGCTTAGACAGAGTTATTACCTTAGGAACAGGTCAGGATCTGCGAAGTTCAGATTCCTCCAGGTGAGTGTGGCTTGGATTTGGCTGGGGTCCCGCTGCTGTGCCCCACTTCCACCCTTTGTGTCACTCTGGCAAGATGTTCTGCTCCTGAATCAGCTGGGTGGGTCTTGCCTCTAGCCTCTTTGCAGGGAAATCTTCTGAAGGGTTCCATGCATGGCCTGTGCTCTGGGTCGATTCAGGACCCGGCGGCCCCGGGCAGTCTCAATCACATGCCGGGACTGCGCTCTGGGTCTGTTCGGGATCCACAGGCCCTGCATCGTCTCACTCACTCGCTGGGCCTGCGCCCTGGGTGTATTCAGGATCCGGTGGCCCTGGGCAGTCTCACTCACTCATGGGGCCTGCGCTCTGAGTCAATTCAGGATCTGGCGGCCCCAGGTCCTCTCACTCACTCAGGCCTGCACTCTGGGTCTATTCAGGATCCACAGGCCCTGGGTCTTCTCCCTCACACGCTGGGCCTGCACTGTCAATATGATCTCTAGTTGCACCCATTTATCAATCAAAGCTGCAAGTTTATCTTTTTATACCTGAGTAATACCTTCATTGAATAAAAATATCACATCTTTTTTATTCACTGTTCAGTTGATGGGCATTTGAATTGTTTCCATGATCTAACTAGGAGAAACTGCTCTGCTACAAACATACGTGCACATATATCACTGCATTATGATGTTTTCAGTTCTTCTGAAAAAGTCCCCAGCTAAGGAATGGCGCAAGGCCGGTCAAATAGCTAGCGGATTAAGGCACATTTCCAGCCAGGGAGATGGCTCAGTAGAGTAAGCACTTCCCTGGCAAGAGCAAAGGCCTGAGTTCAAGCCCTGGTTCCACAAGAAAAAAAAATTAAAGCATATCTACAGACTGAGAAAAATACAAAGACTAGAACCACATCATAAAGGCAGAGAGTTCATGAACAAAAACCAAATTTTTTTGCAAGCAGGCACAGGGGCCAGAGGTTCTATCCCTGGGCCTGGCAGGCCAGCCCCACCCCTGGGTCACGCTGAGACAGCAATTGAGACTGGATGTGGTGGCATGCCTGTACTCCCAGCACTTGGGAGGCTGTAAACAGGAGAATCAGTATGAATCTGATCCAGGAGTAAGACCCTGAACACCCTGCAGACCTTTCCCTAAAATACAGGGGGAGAAAAAAGGAATAGCTGGGTTGAATGGGACATCTAACATAGGTTTTGAGGAATCTCCACACTGATTCCCAGAGTGCTTGTACCAGTGTACACTCCCACAAACAATGGAGAAGGGTTCATTTTCCCCACAGCCTCTCCAGCATTTAATAGTTGCTAACTTCTTGGACATAGCCATTCTTTCCTGGATGAGGTGGAATCTCCGTGCTGCTTTAATTTGCATTTCTCAAATGATCAATGGTGAACACATTTTTATATGTTTATTTGTCATTTGTATTTCTTCATTTGAAAACTGTGCACTCATCTCAGAGGCAGTTTTTTTCTTTTTAATTGGGGCTTTGAATTCTGA